GTCTGGAAATCCTCACTCCCAGAAAAAATATTCTGGTTTTAACTGAATGTAATGTCGACAACGGGAGATAACTCTTCAGAATGTGAAATTCGTCTATTGTGGCATCTAATGACCTTTGATCCTTTAAACTTTAACCTAACCATTTGCATTTCAGACTATTTTACCCAAATCTATACCAAAACTTGTAATTACCAAATGTCATTGCACCTGCCAACTTGATGAAATATAGTTCAATTAAGGTTATTCCTCTCTCCTATGATGTCATAGGCTTTTGCAAAAACTGTAAATAGTTTAAATTCATACATAATAGAAAGAAATCTTTTGAAAGAATGCTTTACAACAGGTGTAATGATAAATATTGTTAAGTTAAAGAATTTTTAAAATGCATATTTTCTTTATTTAATCAATTATTCAATCTTTAAAAAAAGTTGACAAGGGCAATAACTCCTTCTACGGTTTCTTCATTCAGGCATTTGGTTTATTGTACTTCTAATGTAAAGTTGCTCTTCTGATATTCACAATTCAAAAGGAATAGGAAGTATTTGGGAACATTCAGCATCAGAATTACGCATTTTAACCAGTTTTTACATATTTTTCACAATACTGTTTGCAAAAAATGTTTGATTTTTTTATGTTGACATACACTTCTGTTTATTTATGTTTTGCATCTTAAATAAATATGGTGGCCTATGCATTTTTAGCAATAATTGGAAAATTCAAAGTATATCAAATAAAAATAAATGCAGTTTTTGTACTTTGAACAATTAAACCATTGAAATTGTGAGGGTGGAAACACCTTAAAACACAAAATGAAATAATTCCTTCTGATACGTACATGCAATGATTTGTACAACACACTGCACGTGCAGTCTAATCTAAAAATGATGATGGTAAAAATAGTACTTAATTATAGTACGTAACGCAAGCCCAATGTGATGCAGGTGTTCAGATACATGCATAGTACAAGAACAAATAAAACTTATCATTTACAAAAGATGTTTATCTTAAATTTGCCATCTAGGCATATTTTCAAAACAGGCAAATAGAGTGTGTCTGTGTGTGTGTTGATGAAAGAGAGGTGGGGGTCGATTAGATTGATTGGGTATATGGAAACTTTTGAAAAGTCTCTGTCTAATCAAATATCAAAAATCAAAAAGTTTGCACATTTTTAAAAATTCATCAAAAACGCTTTACACATATTTGAATAATATTATTTGTTGTTGATCTATATGAGAAAATAGAATTAAAATGTTTCAATCATGGGCCAAAAATATATAATCCCCCTTTTTTCAAACCTAATTTACATAATTAATTAAATTCTATTGTTTAATTTCAGACTGGTAATGAATTAAGAATATGAAATACCTAGAAAATCTCATGGGGCACATGGTCACCTGAGCATATTATGCTCTATTTGATGAATACATGGATTTTATAAATTATTGAATTATATTAACTTTTTTCCTTGATAAAGCCCAGTTTGAAAGACTGTGCTTTCAGAGGCAAACACCTTAGTGCGGGTATTACTGTCTCATGACAGGATATAGTTTTTCAATCATTTTCGATGTACGAGGGTTGTTAGAAAAATCGCGGACAAGTTCTATTGTGAGATGAAACAGATTAAAGTCTCCAGAAAATTTCGAATAAATAAACAAAGGTTTGATGTTTTTCTGTGATAATAAAAAAACCATACAGATATATTATTTTGATAAGACATGGTTCACGGAGAATGCTACTTTTTCGAACGTTTATTTTACATAGACTTTTTAATGAAATTAAAAAATGAACAGTTATAGTGCAAAGAGAATTATGAAATTTTACCTGCCGCAACAGTATCCACAAAACGTCACTTGGTGAAATTTTGAATTATATTGCATGATACATGAACGTTTTATGGTCATTTATATATAATCAACGCGTAAAATGAAACCCAAGAATAGGAATGTCATTAAACGTCATGGAGCACAGAACTACTAAAATTTATGTATGTTGACAAGAAAATTTAAAATAAATAAACTAAAATGTTTCTAGATGATGCTAGAAATTGTCTACACGTAAAAAAGACAATAATATTAAATTTGTTGTAGCTTCATAACAATGGAAGGATTAACATTTTTTTTATTATTAACTTTCATGCGATACCTCAGTAACCCCGCTTATAGCATGGAAGTAATAGTTAAGTCCAGGATTTTGCATTGTTTCCAAACCTGATAATGCTCGTTGAACTGCGTAGACGTTCATCTGAAGATCTCATTAATATCTGAACAACATTTAAGACATTATAGAAGAAAAGTAACATGTCTCGAAAATGATCATGATATATATTTTAAAGTAGAACAAAGACAAGAAAAAGTCAAAGAAATGTAAAATATTTAGAACTACGGATGTAATATGAATCTAAAAAGGTTTGAAATCTGGTGTTCACGTCACCAACGACAAGTGATTGTACCATGAATCCTATGATTACATAATAAGATCGTTGTGAATTTTCAAAGGTTTAGTAATTGGACCCGATTTTTTACATACTAATGAGCAAAATATAGGTAATTAGACATATATAGGTCAAACTTTACAATACACAATAGATTTTCCGTAAATCAATGTGTCCGCGAACTTTTTCAACAATCCTCGAACATGTATAGATTCCTTTGATAGATTTTTTTTTATTTATTTCATTTCTTTTCACTGCTTTCACAGGATAAGTAATTCTGAAAGGCATATGTCTTTCCTTGATTTTCCAACTTTTTTAAGTTGCTGTGCAGATTTTTACAGTTAAAACTTTTATTCGCAGATTGTCCTCATCCGATACAGTCTGATCCTCTATCACTCAAATATTTCCTGTTCTATCAGTCCCAACGTGCACAACTCGTTTGTGACGTATTCTGTCATTCTTCTATCATTTGAGGAGTTTATTAAGGATTTTCTGAGTAAAATAGAAAATCAATATCTGCTGCTCCGCAGATAGTTCTAAAACGTTATTGTTTTTGTCGTCATCATCGAGGACTACCTATCGTCTCAAGTTGATTTCTTTTCAACGAAGCAAAATATTAAACTCTAATTTGGAGTACGAATCGTTGTATCTGTTTTTATTTCAAATTTCTAGGTTGAATTTCATTTTTGCTCCATTTTACAGAGAATATGACAATATACATTACTAACTTTATTTTTTGTAACTTACTGAATTTTGCTCTGCTCCTTCACCTGTTTTTTGTTTTAATTTCAGCTCAAGTGAGCTTTTTTGATCAAAATTTGTCCGTTGTCTGTCGTCGTTGTCGTTGTTGGTGTCGCCGTTGTTGAAGTTAACTTTTCACATTTCATCTTGTTCTTAAGAACCACTGAACCCATTTAAATCAAGATTGCAACAAAGTATCCTTGGGCAAAAGGGGATTAAGTTTGTTCAAATGAAGTTCCTGGCCCTTTTCGAAGGGGAGATAATTTTAAATCAGAGATAAATTTATTTTTTTTAAAAAATTTAAAGTATCACTGTAGTGTAGATTGAGAGTTGTTCACATTATGACTCCCCGGGGGTAAGGTGGAACCACAAGGGGGTATCAAAGTTTAACATGGAAATACATCGAAAAAAAATCATAATTATTCTTCGAAGGGACTAGTGGGCCACGAAAAATGAAACTTGGGTAAAAGCATCCTCTGGTAGTTTAGGTGGAGCACAATGGGGTGTCAAAGATTAACATAGGAATACCTAGAAATACCTAGAATACCTATAAAAAATCTATCAACATCCTCATGTCAAGTAAAACAGTGGCAGGAAATACGAAAATCACATGGAAGCATCCTCATGTAATGTAGATGCAAGTTTGTTCACATTATGACCCCTGGGGGTAGAATTGGGCCTCATTTGGGTATCAAATTTAAATATAGAAAAACGTAGGAAATTTATTTTTTCAAAGACAGTAAAGCTCTCATTGGTTATACAGTAGAACTCTGTTATAACGAAGTCGTCGGGACCTGTGAAAATACTTTGCTATATCCGTAATTTGTTTTATCCTTATAAAGAATTCATCAAATTTATACGGCCGGGGATCCAAGATAACTTCGCTATATCCGTAAATTCGCAATATCCTTGTTTGAACTAAAGTTCACTGTAGTTATAAGGAAGCATACTCTAAAAGTGTAGATTCAAGTTTGTTTATATCATGACCCCCGGGGGTAGAGGTAAAAGAAGGATCAAAGTTTAACATAGGAATTCACAAGAATGAAAATATGACCTGTAAGAGCAAAAACCTCCTTTATTGCATTACTTGTAACAACTGCGGAGAGGAATACATCGGCCAGACCGGACCAGTTAACCGCCCGCATGCGCGTACATCGCCAACAAATTAACAATCCGAGCCTCAGAAACACGCCATACAGTGAACATTTTGATATTTGCTCACAAGGAAACTACTGTGTGTTCCCCTTTTATAAACTTAGGAACGATTCCATTGCAATGACATTAGCAAAAGAAAACTACTTCATAAATCTTTTTTCACCAAAACTGAACAAACATTAACATTGAGAAATTACCTAATTTTATATATCATCAATTAGAATTTCTGTTTAATTTGTTTATATAGCCTGAAAAATATGCAATTTATTGTCCATTATTGTCCAATTTGATTTTCCCTAACTTTTACGTAACGTAGCCATACTATGACGTCATAGATTACCTCCTTCCCTGCAAAGACTCTCATGACATCATGACGTCATAGTTAACGTTACTAAGCAAAACAATCAGTTCAATTTATGTACACCTAAAGACGGATTATGAAATCCAGAAAGCGCTTGTATTAAATGAAATTTGGAAACTTCACTTTCTTTTTCTTTTAATATATATATATATATATATATATATATATATATATATATATATATATATATATATATATATATATATATATATGATAAATATTTTTTAAGTAAAAATACCTGAAGAGGTACTGAAATGGGACATAGATGCAAGGAAAAGGTTCGTCGAAATTTCCGAGCATGGAAGTACGAACATGCGCCGAGCCAGAGGACTGATAGTGGGCTGCGCCGGTGCAGGAAAAACAACTCTGCTTAGACAGCTTCAGAGGACTCAAACAAGCCATTGTCCATGTTCAACTGAAACAACCATTGGTCTTGAAATTCACGAAGATCTGTTTGAAGTAAAAGACGACACCTTAGTAGGTAAATAATTTCATAGTTTTTAGAGATATTTATTAATTATAGATCTTATGTGATAACTCTACCCACATAAGGTAAAGAAAAATTATTCTTTATGATAATTCATGATTGATTGATTGTGTTTTGTTTAAAATCCCTCGAAATGATTTTTTCACTCATATGGAGAGGCCAACACTTGCTGGTGCAGAGCTACAAATTTTGTCCTATATTCAGCATTCAGCAATATCTTTCCCGGTAGCATCCACTGTGACACGGGCCCTCGGTTTATACGGTCTCATCCGAAGGACCGGTCTCCACCTCCCACAGTGGAGTTCTAACCCGTGACGTAAGGAATGACCCCTTGTTTCACGACTCTAGAGCAGACACTCCAACCACTGCAACACGTGGCGACTATAATACATGAACACGTATTGATACTTGTTTCAACTCTTCAAATTGTGTTGAATCTCGTAAAAGGTATATCAATATATCAGTTTATCTTCCTTCAGACTTTAATTCCAAAAACGAAAACACAGAAGATGGAAGTCAAGACAAACAGATAATAAGTATGACGGACTTCGCCGGTCAAGTAGCGTATTACGCATGTCACCAGATTTACCTCTCAAGAAGAGCCTTTTACCTGGTTGTTATGGATTTGTCTAAAGGACTGAATGAAGTTGTTCACACACAAGACACTGATCGACACAACCCAAAAGGATCTTTATTTCATGGCTGGGCATACAAAGGTAATTTCTAAGTTCAGATTTAAAAACGTATGACTGTTTCATGATATACGAAGACACCGAAGAGAGTCAAAACTCATAATGCCATCCAAACAAAATAAATTAAGAAAAGAGAAAAGAGAAATCAACCAATGTGTTTTAAATGGTACAATATGGAGATAACGGACAGTATATATTCAAGCTCATAGGTCCATTAAGCAGTTCAAATTAGGAACGAAATCAACACAAACCTCTTATTCATCAGAGGTGGTATCAGGTGCTATGGAGGAGTGAGCACCGTCTGCAGACCTATTATCCTGTGTTTCGTTTCCTGATCAGAAAACGATAAAATCCGAGGAAATAATTACTAAACAATTGTATGAAAAAGTCAATCAGCATTTTGCATAAATGAAAAATTGTATCGATTATTGAACTTGAGAAATGACGACTTTGAAGGGGACTGTTGATATTCTTGTTTCATCAACTTGTTATTGAAAGCTTGACTCAATTAAGATTTTGCATATAGATTATGAACTTGCTTATTATTTAAATCAACTTAGAAACATAAACTCATATGCAGGATATTGCTACACTGTACATAATTAATTCAGGGAAGTTTGAAATGTAGAAAACGTAATATTTACCATTAAGCTTTCTTGTTAAGTAACCTTTAAAATAAAATTTAGTTAAATACGTAAAATATCCAAATGTGAAAGAAAATAATGTTGTATGGCATTGAACATTCCTGCAATTTTTAAGAAGACCAGGTCCCGGGATCAGAAAACATCTTAAGCTTAATTTAAAAAATGCATACGGCTGTGACAACGCACTTTAAAAATTTTAAGCACTTTGAAAAAAACTTTCAAAGTGCGTTTAAATTGGGACAAAATCAACGCACTTTGAAAAAAAAAAATTGCGTGAAGAGTCTACATCAATATATTTTAACATGGAGACACTTAACGCACTTTGAAAAAGAAAATCATATTTCAGTCATGGAAAGATTTTATTTTTTATTTATCTTTTAAAAAATAAGCCAAACCCTTACCTCAAAAATGAATTGATTTACGCCTGTCGAAAAGAGAGAAGCGGGTAAAGATTTCCCCAGTCCAAATTTTTATCTTTTCAATACATAGGTGTCAGTAACAAACGGGGAAGGGGAGCAATAAACTTAAAAGGGTACGCTGCATTTTCATTGCTCATACGATGTATATTACTTTCCAAATTAATTGGGAGGCCAGCCCATCCCCTCCCATGGCCCTTCGCCCAGTCTCGATGTCTATGCTATACTCAAAGCATGCATATATTTATGTATTTACCTAACTGGCATGATGTTGAAAACTTTCAATATGATAATATGAGTTAATTAAAAATAGATGAAAATTAGAAATTTTTAATTACTTAAGTTTTTAAGAAGATCCGGAGGCATATTGCTTTTCTCATAAGGGGGCAAACTGTAATTTTTTGGCATAAAAACTACAATAGAGAAATTCCTTGTTTTTGAACCATATTAAACTTAAATTGACTTCAGCATACATGCCAAGTTTCGTGAAATCTACTACCCAGTTTTTTAATGTGACCGTCTCGAAATACAAGTACATTTACTATAGGATTACAATGTATATAGGAAAGTTGCAATCTTTGCACTTTAAAGCAAATTATACAAATAATACAATAGAAGTTTTTCTCAAACTATATGATTGGTGACCCTTTATTGTACATCAAATGTATGAACCACAAAATTCTACCACCTTGTTTCCAGAGGGGGTATTTCCCAAATTTTGGAAAAAAAAAAAAATAAATTATAAAAATGATCAAAGATTTAGATTTAGATGTTTAAATTTCATTAATAGCATATACTGAATACCTTTTCTTTTTAACATTTTAATTTTCCCTTCCTTAAGAGATCCAGTTTACATGTATCATAATGTCCAAAGCACACTTTTATGAGGTCAATCTACCTATCAGTTAAAAAATGTTTTGAAAATCAGTTATAAAAAAAATTGTAATGAAATTTTTCAACCTATTTTTTATTTAATTTTGAATAATGGACTTCATTAAGGTAAATACGAATTTACCATAATGCATGAAGTATTGCTCAATGGAAATCCCACCCCCCCCCCCCCCCCAAAAAAAAACCTGACCAACTGTCAGGCTTTTCTTCTGTATATCTTTTATTAAAAAAAAATATATAAAATTTAGACCGATGGTAATGAAAGTCCTCATTTATAACTTTTAAGATGGGACAAAACACCCGTGGATTCTATTCTAACCACTTCCTTAATAAGAACAAAGAAAAAAAGAATAATATCACTATATTTACAAAAATTTAAATTTCTCTTTAAGAAAAATAATAAGTTTTGTCATGTTTGCGTCATATTTTGTGAAAAATTTCAGTGAATCCTATGTATTGGTCACTTGGGGGCCATATTTGGAATGTGTTTATGCTATCTAAGTGCAATAGTCAGGCATGTTGCATTCTGTTATAAAGTTTTGTTCCAAAAATAGTAATAGTAAAATATTCGACGTATAAAAATACCCTTTTGCCCGAAAAAAAAGTGCCACCCCCTTTAAAAAATCGCAGAACACACGTGAAGAAAAATGACTCCCTGTGGATTAAAGCTGAAATTTTTAGGGGGCAAAAAAAAATTAGATGAAGCATATTGGCCAAAATGCTCACCTGAGCTTATTTGGAATAAATTGATGATATATTGATCTCATAACATACGATTATAGCTATATTTTAAGGTCAATGATATGATTAAGGATCTAAAAGAGTAAAGATTTATCGAGCCTAAAAGGTTAGGTAAACATTGTTTTTCGATGGTGGAAATCATCGTACTGACAAAAAAAATAGCAGTATCACATATCATTATATTCTCTGTTTGAAAAGCGGGAGGGAATATAGTGATGGGGACGTCCGTCCGTCTGATACACTTTGGGGTATCCATCGTTATCCGCAACTCCTCTTATATATAAGAATAGTGTTTGTGAAACAGTTTGCCCCTGTATGGCAACATAGCAAGATTAAACATTTCTTAAATGAAATTTTAAAATACATGTATAATGGTACCCAAAGTAAGGCTTCTCACAAGAAATACAATTGCAAAATAGGAAAGCCCTAGCACCACTTGTTCAAAATTAATGGCTAAGGATAGGTGTTTGAAAGGTCAAACTAAAGGTAAAAGGTCAAAGTTGATGGTTTCTTAAGAAAGGTTTAATGTAACAAGGATAGCATTTGTGAAGTGTGAGAGTACTAACATCTTCAGTTAAAAAGTTATAGCCAAAGTAAATTAAAAATTTGGCTTTTTTTGGTAAAATGGGACAAACTTTAAGATAAAGGTCAAAAGGCCAATTTTGGTGGTACCCAAATAAGGTCTTGTCACAAGGAATATACACATATTGAATATGAAAGGTATTGCTACAATGAATAAAATTTATGGTCAAGGTTAAAGTTTTTGCAGAGAAACAGACCGCCAGACACACAGACACACAGACGGACAGTATAAAACTATTTACCCCCGAAACTGCGATTACAGGGACTTAAAAAAAAAGGACTTTTCATATTATGATACAGAATAAAGAAGACATTACAAAAATGAAAATGTTTGTTCTGATTTTCATATGAAATTCTCTGAAAAAAATACTCAGAACTGGGTAAAAGGGTGGAGTACAACAAGAATTAAGAAATGTAATGAATACTGTGTGCTAAATCAAAAGGTTATGTCTACATGTGAGTTTTTGCATTAGAATGTGTATTTTACACCAGCCCATAGCTTTACAGAGCTTGTTTTAGGTGTTATACCCAACTCACCCCCTTATTTATTTAGGATGAAGTCGATTAACAAAAAAAAACAACAAAAAACTACCCTACCTTTATTTTTTATAAGGAGGGACTAAAAATAACTTTGAAAAAATCCACTATTCTACTAATTATCAACTGTTTCTTTGCCACAATACTTTCAAATATACCCCCACCAACATTTAAAGTTCGCTTTAATCATGGCGGAGTAAATTATGATATGATACATGTTGAACTTGCTCTACTTCATTTTAATGCTCCATCTATAACTTCTTTCAGTATTTTTGAAAAGGGAAAGTTTTATTTATATTTTCGCTTTTTATTTATTTTTTTTTTGTTTTGATTTAACGTAATTTTTTTTTTTTTTTGGGGGGGGGTTAAAAATTTCCTCCTCTTTTATTGTCAAAACGGATTTGCCAAACTAAAGTACGCTTTAATCATGGCGGACTAAAGAATGATATGATACATGTAGAACTTGTTCTACTGCATTTCAATGCCCCATCTATAATCATTCAGTATTTTTGAAAGGTATAGAGTTTTATTTATTTTTTTGCTTTTCATTTATTTTTTTTGTTTTGATTTAACGTAATTTTTTTTGGGGGGGAGGTTAAAAATTTTCCTCTTTCATTGTCAAAACGGATTTGCCAAAATTTTACAAGCTAAAAGTTGATATGAAGGAAAAATTAATTTTTCTATTAAAGAGTATTGGAACTTGATTGTTGCATGGTTTGATTTCTAAAAACAAGTGGAAAATATTTTTAAGCAAACACTATAAGGAGGAAATTAAAAAGAAATTTCATTACGCGGGTATGTTAAGGCAGCACATGGACCAGAATTCGGCGAATTAAGACTTTTTTATAATTATGTAACACTAATAAATGGAAAAAATCAAGCATAAAACTTTTGTTAAAAATATGCATTTTACAGACTTCAATGGGACTTATACTACATGAAGATTCACCACGACGTCACCACGTGACGTCTATAATTAGAAAATATGCCTTAATGAAAAAGTGAAAAGTTCAACATACCCCGAGGGTAATTAATTTCAATTTGTAATTATACTTATGTAAAAACATCTCTGTACCATGAAAAGTGCTGCTAGAATCCTACTGTCCTATCACAGAAATAATTAAATTTAACTAGAAATTGTTAACTGCATTTGAAAACTAGCAGAAAACGTAATCAAGAAAAAAAGTGCATCGCTCGATTCAATAATAATCTTAATCATCAGAATCAGAGAAGGTCTTGGAAGACCTTAAAAATAGTGGAAAAGAAACCTAAGAATAACATGAAGGTCTTCAGCTGAAGACGGAAGCCTTAATAATAATAATAATAATAAACCGAGTTAAAACATTATGTTCCCAAACTCCGTTTGGGGAACATAATAAATAAGATTTTTGAAAGAAAATTAAACACACATTTTTGCCCACATAGTCTGAAATATAGCCTATAAGACCGCTGTAAGAAGATTGTGAAATTAGGCTTTCGACTTGAGAATGAGCCTTTTTTTAGACTTATCAATTGATCTATTGCTTTGTGTAATACTTTCATAAGATTTTTCACATATACTAGAACTATGTTGGCTTTTAAATGCTTCAAATCTAAGTACAGATTTAAGCCAAAAATCCGTAAAAAGCGTTATTTGCCTCATATTAAGGATGTACAAAACACCTACCCCCAAAAATTCCTGTCGTTTAATTTTCGTTATTTTTGTTTAAATAGTAAATGACTATACCTAATGCATGTATGCATATTTTGGACAAAATCGTTCGAGTGGTTTTTGGACAGGAACTTCCGAAGTTATCCCCCTTTAGTTGTTTACAAGGAGAGAAAATTTTTAATCAATGAACTACTTAAACCTTGATTTTCAAAAAAACCAGGTTAGATATATAAATGTCAAATTTCATTGGCTTATTCCTTAAACCATTTAACACAAAAACATAGTCATCTTTTTGATATACATATCATCAAAACAATTTTTAAAGACCTTAAACTGAAAAACTATGAATTTTCTAAGCCTTGAAAATTGCGTATTTTTCAAATTCAAAATTTTTTTGTGAAAAAACCTGTCGTTTAATTTTGATAAAAAACTTTCTTTAGGTAGCTGGTAGTAAAAATAATCTTCATAATTTTTTAAATAATTTTTGAACGACCAGTTTTGATTTAATAGCGGAAAATTACCCCCTACTCCTTTCTCAATAAATCACGTTCCCGCGCGTCTTACAGACAGGGTCGATCATTTTGTTATATAAATCTACAAATACACATTAAAAATAATTAAATTGGAATATTGCTTTTGTTTAAAAAATATATTAACTTACAAAATTTAAAAGTTCTAATATGTAAAGCGTATTTAAATGTAGATTTTTAGACAATTTTTGAATACCCCTATCACCCCCACCCCTTCCTCTTTTGCGTCGCAGACCATTATCGTATGACGAAACGTCGTTTACGGTGCAAATATACTGGTATTTTGTCAAGAATCCCGGAGGTATGCATTCGTTTTTAAATTCATGAATGCAGAATAGATATTGACTACTCTTTTTATATGTATCAGGAAAAATTTACTGAAAGATTTTAGTGTTTAGTCCATATACGTATGCGTTATGCATTCCATATCACATGAAACCTGGATACGAATTCAATTTTTTTGTTGAACTTGAATATGTTGATTTTTAATTTTATTTCTTTAATTTTATTCAATAAGAAATGGTGTATGTTCAACTCTCCTGTGATATAAATGGAATAATTGTAGTTTCTTTCATGTCATTATTTTAAACGAGACAGTATGTGGCCGTGGGGATACATCGACATTTGCATTAGGTGTACATACACCCCTCGTGATATTGTACGCATTTCTTTCGATGTCGTCGCTTCTAAAGTTAAAATGAAAATTCCGATTCTTCACATTTACTTCAAAATATCAAACATTAAACTCATCTATTTCAATTTATATGAAATCGCACTTTGATATCTTTTAAAATCTTACAGGCTACGTTTTGTTTTGATTCGAGGAAATGCGAACCGACATTGTTGACAGAAAGTCAAAGTTACGATTTGTTGCAATAGGATATTCATAAATGCAGATAATTTCAGTACAAGTACAACTCTTTTCAATTCTATAATTACATTGTGTATATGAGGTCTATAGTATTCAATTCTCGGATTTATCAGGTCTTGCGTAAAAAGTATCTGATTCTGTGGAAAACCGTAAATAAAGGGAGGAAAATAAACATCTACATTTTCAGAGTTGTTCCTCTTTGATCAGTAAGGGGCTGAGAACAACATCGTTTTTACATTGTAAAAAGTTTTTTTTTTTGTTTATTTATATTGTTGTTCTATTTAATTAAAGAAGAAAAACAATATTTATATCGTGTATGCACAAATTGTAATGAAGACCAGTAATCGTAATGGTATATCGCCAATTGTACATAATGAGAATTTCGGCAATGTAAAATAAAATTTTCAGAATAAATAAAAATGCTGCGCTTTGATCAAAAATACAATTTATTGCATATGAAATAAAATGAAATAAACATTAAGGGATGGTATTTAACTATTTTATGTCTTGCTTTTTGATTGAGTATTGATTGAGTATGGTACGCATAATCACAGCCAAGCCCCATATCTCAATTTTCTTTCATGATTGATATACATCGGGATCGTTTTACTCGTCGTTTTGACGCTTTATTTTTGACGTTAAATTTGACGTCACGTCAAACGTTCAATTGAAATCGCAAGAATTATCTCCCCCAGTGTGTTGTACGTCTTTAAACGATCAAAACCTTTAGTTTTTGTATCATTTTGTGCCTTTATGTAACAACTTTACTATATGTGAAAATAATAAAAAGTTGAATATAGGAAGCATATTGAAAAATTATTTTATCCTAAAACTTTAAGAAAAATAGAGCAAATATCGGATTAGCAATATCCATTTTGTTTAGATTATCTTTGTCAATTTAGTACTTTCCTCTTATAGGCCCTATATGGTAGTATCTTTTAATGCCAAAAAAAAAGCATTCAATCTTTTGAATTAAGAGTGATCGCATAATTGGAAACAGTGATTTTTTATCTTAAATTTCCAAAAAAGGTAATGACCTTTACCTGACCTTGCCTCTAATATAAAACGGTCAAATTTAATCTCACTGACAACATTACTAGTAAATTGTTCTTTATTCTGTGAAAATTTTATTAATATTTAAATACAAGAAATGTAAGAAATCTACCTTAAGGAATTTTTTTCCAAATTTCCCAGTAACAATTTGACTTACATTTAAAGTAACAAAAAGGTAATCTTTATTGAAAGATTACACAAAGCAATAGATCAATTGATAAGTCTAAAAAAAGGCTCATTCTCAAGTCGAAACCTAATTTCACAATCTTCTTACAGCGGTCTTATAGGCTATATTTCAGACTATGTGGGGAAAATGTGTGTTTAATTTTCTTACATATCAACTATAAAGAGAGATGTTGAATCCTAGAACAAAATATAAAAATTTAAAAAATAAGTGTGAGGAAAAATTTGGTCCATCATTGTAAAGAAATATATTAGAGCGCTTTTAAAGAAAATATTGTACCAAAGATTAAATTGTGGTATGGTATACTGTTGAGCAAACCAAAGTGTACGCGTACGTGTACATGTAACACCAGGAATGCATTAAATACTTCATCACTTTTGCTAATGACGAATTTCTACACGTATCCTCTAACACAAGTTACTTAGATTACCAAGTACGCGTAAGTCAAAACTTATACCTTATAATTCTTTAACTGCTGTTTATTTTTTGAACAAGTGTGCGTTTTTCTAAAACCTGAATATTTAATGCAAATAACTGTTAAAAGAGCTGAACGTCATTAATTGAAAAGTATTTATTTATAGGAAGTTAAAATCAAAACATCTACATTTTCAAAATAGGCTTTGACCGATTAAGACTGTAAGAAATCTGTACAATCGTTTTCTCATAAGTCCATGTACATATTTATGTAAAACGGTGATATAGGTATTAAAATCATTGCTTTTTTTGGATGAATTTTTAATGTTAACTACTTTTATATTTAAAAACTTACTAGTACAGGTTATACTGCTGAACAAGAAAACAATATTAACGTGTACGTGTAATTCTAACTTTTAGTTACACGTACATGTACATGTACAAGTGAGCTTGCTAAACCTCTCTAATGTATTATATTTGACGTGTATGATATTTCGTTTTGAATAAATAAACCAGAATCTGATTTAGCGCAATTTTCTGTGGTCTTTTTAAGCGCAGAAATTTCTTTCCGAAAAAGGCGCTAAATAAAACCTCCCAATTTTTTTTTAAAGTGCAACACCACTATTGATGAAGGGATGTATTTAAATTCACTGCTTTCCTTTTCTTTTTTTCTTTTAGAAGATTCAAGTTGTAGTCGAAATTTAGTCAAAATATCACCTTATTTTAGGCAGCAGAAAATACACATTGTTTGATGTCGTTCATGGCCAAAGATTCCCACTTTCTGAGTTTAACAAATAGTACTTCACTTCTTACATGCGGTAACTATTTTCGGTACTAAGAAAAAGCTATCATTGAATCCAATACTTTTAAAACAACTTCTCTTTTAGATTTAGTGTGCAATATCACTTGTCTGTGGTGTATATAAAACATAACCTAAACAATTTTTATTCATCTCCGTGCGCCGGTTACGCATTTGATGACGTATTTTTCATCAAATTCAATTCCAACCACACTTTGAAAATATTGTCACTTATCGTCTGTTTTAATTTTATTTATATGAAAAAATTGACATGTTATTAAAAGTTTGATCCTGATTTTACTGACCTAAATATGAGTTCAATGTTGAACATAATACCAAAGAAATTAAAAGCAAATGTAACAGCAATATGCATGAATTATTCCCATTAATTTTTGTGCGCTGACAGACCATATCGGTCTTCATATAAATCGTCCCAATATTATGAATATAAAAAAATATATTTAAGAATTTACAATTTTAAAGAACATTTCTTTTGGGACAACCTTTGTCCACGTATACATGTATAACGTAAATAAATTGATGATTGTTAAGGTTAACGATGACAACTGTTTGCATTTTTTGAAGATTACTTTCTGTTCTGGCTGCGATCAATAAAAACGTACTGTGATGACGGAAACAAACAGGAAACAACGAACAGTCCAGTTATCCTCATTGCCTCTCATCACGACTGTTTAAAAGTACGTATAACATACACGACTGAATGAATAACTTTGGCATTACTGGTAAAAGAGGTATTGAGGATATGTGATGGGTACTCCAAAATGTAACAGACGGACGGACATACAGACAGAACGGACGTACAGAGGGGCCAACCCTCGATCAATATACGAATTTGATAAAAAAGTTCTCGAACTAAAGGAATAAGTTCCTCTCAAGAACCACTGGGCCAGTAAATATAAAACTCAATGGAAGCATCCTCTGATGAATTCAATATTGTTCAAATCATGACCCCGGGAATAAGGTGAGGCCAAATTAGAATCGGGTAACAAAGGTTAATATATGAAAACACAGGGAAAATCTTTGTTAAGATCTTCTCCAGAACAGCAAAGCCAAAGTGAGACGACACCATCCTCAGGAAGTGTAGATGCAAGTTGATTAAATCAGGATCCTGGTGCAAGGTTTAGGCCAAAATGGATGATCAGAGGAGGATAGCATTAAAAAAAAATTCTTGTCGAAAATAGCAAATCTGTGATATTTTATATTTATACGGTAAAATTATCACGTAGTCTAGATCCAAGTTTGATCAAATCATGACCCCAGGGTAGAGTAGGGCCACTATATATTGGGGATCAAAGTTTTATGTAGGAAAACACAGAAAAAATTGTTAAAATTTCTTCAGAAGAACAACAAAGCCATGATAATTTATTATCTTTTCAATAACTAATATTTGCTTTAACCTAGCTAGTTGCTCATATGAGCGATGTGGTCCCAGGGTTCTTGATTTGGCTAGTTATATTTTGTGAGTAAAAATAATATTGAAGTGTAAATGGTCGAGGTGTTTTCCAAGAAATACCCAAGGGCAACTGGCATGAAAAGCAGGTAAATGACCCAGTAATGTGTAATTAGACACATCAATCAAGTGTGTACAATGTGCAATAGCTGTTTTTGATCTTACAATTGTATCATGGAATTTGATGTCATCTAAGTAAACGTTATCTTTAAGAGATAAGTCCACTGTGCGAAGTCAATTTATTTCCTCAAAACCACGTATATGGTTCATTAGGTAAATATATAACATACAACATATATAGATACCGATATAATACATTGGCTAAAGCAGAAGGTTCTTTATATTAGGTTTGTAGTGTCTGAGATTCCGAAAATGTTCATTAAAAGGAATGAATTCAAGTGAGATTAAAATACATTTTTGCAGATATTACCGGTATAAGGTGGTGAAAACTACAACGCAAGATAACTTTCCTAATCTTGCTCCCACAAGCTAGTAGCCTCCTAGCCACATTACCTTATCTCCTTGTAGACTTGCCAATGCTACAACCAATGCTACATTAAACGTCTCGGGGATGGGGGTGGTGATGGTTGTGTGAGGTTTGCAGAACACCGAAAAATAAAGAAAAAGATTTCAAACACTTTAGTAAGGGCGAAGAAGTTGACTACCACTGTTATTAGTACTTGATAAAATTAATACAAGATTGAACAGGAATGCACATCAAGTGCATCCAAAGTACTTTCATAAATTATCGTGCATGTTATCGAATTCAAACAATCACTCAGTTACAATCTAAACATGTAATATCAGTAAGGAAATATAACATGTTTAAAAATACAAAAGATCCATATTGGTGCACTTATCATAAAACACATATAATGTCTCTAAAAAAATTCGTATGGTAATTGTTTAATGTTTTGCTCACCTAAGCCACGCAGCACAGTTAAGGTTACAAAAAGGAGGCGGAGCCTAATTTTACGGGAAGACTTGACTATGACATCATAAACAATATACGTCATAAAAAATTCCTTCGAAAATACCACAAAATGAGTTTATCTGCTAATTTTACCAGTAAGAAATCATCAAACTACATCAAAACTTACTACAGTGTGTTGTTTTGTCGTTAGTTAAATCCCACATAACAAGTTATAAAACAAGTCACTTGATCGCAATATGACGTCATTTCTTACAACGTGACGTAGTTTTGCAGTGAGAGATAGATTAAGTAATATTTTCTATACAAAACATGTATTTTCTAATTAAATAAAATATTATTTACAGATATTCTATGGGCCAATATCTTGTATTTAATGTCCTTTTCCCTATTTTATTAATATATTTCTGAACATTACGCATTTAATTGACACTGCCGTATATTTGTATGCAAGTACATCGTAGGGTAATGTTGGGGGGGTCTTAATACAACGATCTAGTGCAAGGGCATACACTCTATGGATCAAAGTAAGCTTTTCAATTTCAACTATAGATCTATTAAGGTATCTGAAAAGTGCTGCGATCCTGATAAAATCTTAAAAACAATTTAACTATATCAATATTTTATGCCGCTGACCAGCAAAAATATAGTATTCGGTCATACAAGTATAATTTTAACAATGAAATTGCAGAATTTAGACAGAATTGCATCACTTTTTAGAAACTACAATGCATATTGAAAATATTTATATACTAAACTTGGAAAATTAACTTGGTTATGCCCTTGCACTAGTGATATTCATATGTAACGTCAATACTGCAAGTCAATGTGCTAAAATCGCGTGACTGCCGCATCACGTGACTAGTCTAAATATAAAATATAATCGTCCTGGATATGTTGTTATTAATCATGAATACAATTATCCGATATAAAAAATGTACTAAAAATAATCGCCATCCCGATTATGAATACATTTTTAAATACAAAATTTAGTCGATATTTCGATTGCGCACCTTAACTGAACTGCGCAAAGACTCAAGTGTTCTCTATCGTCGTTGTCGTTGTTGATGTTGTTGTAAACGACTTGAATTTGTTCAAATGAAGGGCCGTTCGCCTTTTTCCAGAGTGTAGATAATTATGAATTAAGGAAAAATTAATGGCATTTAAAAAAATATGGGATCATCCTCATATAGTGTAGATTACAGTTTTGCATTTAAAACTATTTACAAACATCTTCTTCTCAAGAACGCAGCACAGTTAAGGTTACAGTTAGGAGGCATGGCTTAATTTGTACGGGAAATGTTTACTATAATGTTACACATAATATAAGATCTTCAAAATACCCCGAAATAAGATTATTTGCTATTTCAAACATCTGGATACAATGTTCAGCTGTACTATCCAAACTTACTGATACATGCAGTTTTGTCGTTTGTTAAATCCCACACAACAGTATATAAACGATGCATCGATTGCAATGCACTTGTCAATATGACGTCATCTCGCAAAAATGACACAGTTTGTACACAGTGAGAGACTGATCAAGTCACATTTTGTAAGATGAAAAATGTCTTTTGTTCTCATATAAAATCTTATTTGCAGTAAAAGAAAAGGCCGTTAACATGGATGCGATGTCTGTTTTAGTATTTTATTTATAAACTATCCGTACACTCTCTCCAGACAAGATGTGTGTGCTTTTGTATGCAGATTCATTGAAAAAGAAATGGGGGGGGGGCTAATAAATCCATTTATTTCAAGGGCATACGCTCAATGTATATCTGTCTCTGCAAGTTTTAACACATAAACTCCAGAAGCATTAAGATATTTGACAAGTGCTGCGATCCTCATGAAATCTTGCAAATAAATTTATTATAGCTATATTTAATGTGGTTAATGAGCAAAATATTAACCTGCCGTTGAACAAATAAAATTAAAGCAATAGAAAAAGGAATCTATATAAGTTTGCAGCACTTATAAGAAGCTACATATAGTGTTGAAAAAGATTACAAATCAATTTTAGAATTTTATTTAGGTTATGCCCATGCAATATTGGAATCTATATATGACCTCTTAACAAGTATAATTGCTAAAATCATGTGACGTCGACATCACGTGACAAGTCAAAATAAAGAAATCTTGATGTCCAAACACGTAGATTTAAACTACATTATATTTTTTTTTATATCAGTGAAGTCCTTAAAAGAATCCCCCCATACTAATAAAGTATGTACTGTTTATTTTTTTAAAAATCGCCGATATTTCCATTTGTAAGCTTAACTGTGCTGCGAATAGCAAAGTCATGATTATCATTAGTGATACTAGTATTTATATGGAAGCATTCTCAGATTGTGTACAATTAAATTTGCTCAAATGATAATCCCAAAGGGTAGGGTGGGGCCACGATGGTGGATTAAACTTTAAAATAGAAAAAAGAAGGGGGAAATCTTCTCAAGAACCACTGGGTCTGAAAAGCTAAATCATTTGTGGAAGCATCCTTGGGAAGTGAAGATTCTAAATTTTAAAAATCATGACCCTTGGGGGTTGTGCGGGACCACAATAGGAAATCAAAGTTTTACACAGAAATATTTGAAAAAAAAAATTAAAATATCTACTTCTCAAGAACCACTTGGCCAGAAAAGCTATGTAGTTATGTAGAAGCATCCTTGGGTAGTGTAGATTCAAAATTGTTAATCTTGCCCCCTGGAGGTTGGGCGGGGCTTCAAGAGGGAATCAAAGTTGAACATAGGAATATATTGAAAAAAATTGAAAATCTTCTTCTCATGAACCACTGTGCAAGAAAAGCTGAAATTTATATGGAAGCATCCTGGGATAGTGTAAATTCTTAATAGTCAAAATCATGACACCTGGGGGTTGGGCGGGGCTAAAAAATAAATCAAAGTTTTACAAAGAAATACATAGAAAACAATTGAAAATCTTTTTAAAGAGTCTAGACCAGAGAATCTGAAACTTATGTGGAAGCATACTTGGGTTGTGTAGTTTCTAAATTGTTAACATTGTGACATACATGTAGTGGGGGAGGGGGGGTGGATTACGGTGAGGTCGCAAAGGCATAACAAGGGGGGAAATATGGTACAGAATGGCATCACCAAAGTTAGTCAGGTGAGCAATGTGGTCCAATGGGCCCCTTTTTATCAAAACCTTATCTTGTATGTTTGGTAGATAAAATCACAGCATTTATTAACTGATAAAATTATGTAACTGTATAGACAACCAAGGTAAAGATTTCACCTAAAAATGAAGAAAAAAAACTTATGTTGAATTAAATTCCATTTATT